ATCCTCAGCGCCGGAGTGACATGGGTGGAGGGAGGAGGAGAAACGGGGCTGCGGGATCCCTTCCGTCTGTGCCAGTTTGAAGTGACGGGACAGGCGTTCCTGTATCACCAAGTCCGCTGCATGGTAGCGATCCTCTTCCTCATCGGCCAGAGGATGGAGAGCCCCGAGATCATCGACGAGCTGCTGGATGTGGAGAAGAACCCCCGAAAACCGCAGTACAGGTACGGAGAGCTCGGGAAAACCTCCCGGGCTGCTTCTCAAAGCGACGGCTGCGCGCGAAGTGCCGCTGGCAAGCCGCTTCTCTGCCAGCCTGCGAAGCAAGTCTCTCACAATACGGAAGCAAGCTGCCGGCGGCCTCTCTGGGAGGTATCCGTAAGGATCACGTTTTTCTTGCTTTCGGACAAGCTTTTGATGGCTTTAGTCCTTGGTATTTGGTTAAAACTAATTCAGTTTTTATCGGGAAAAGGAGTTCTGTAAAAGACAGGGCTGTTTTTGGCAGAAAGGACGGGCTGATGCGCTGTTGGCGCGAGCCTTTTTTGTCACAGCATCCCTCCAGACAGCAACGGGTGACGCCTTCTCTCCTTTGCCCTAGCATGGCAGTCGAGTTTCCCCTTGTCCTGTACGACTGCGAGTTCGAAAACCTTCAGTGGCTCTACGACCGAGAAGTGCAGGAGTTCAACGTTACCCACCTACAGCAGCTCTGGGCCGACCACGCGGTCAAAACTCAAGTGCTACGGAACATGTTACGAGGGTTAGACGCTGCTCCCGTGGCTACTGGAAAAAGTAAGGGATGGTTTTGTGGCAATACCTTGGGATGGGGGTAACTGGGTTTAAAAAAAAAAAAAAAAAAAAAATGAATGAAGGAAAGGGGGAAAGAAAAATATTTGTCAAACCACCGGTATTTTTTCGATTATATCACAGGCCCAGGGAACAGCACGACCGTCCTCTGGGGAGATACGAAGCCTCCGCTCTGCAGCCAGGTCAGCGGCTTCGTGGAAGGCGTCAAAGCCCGCACCTACAAGCCTTTACTGGCCCGCCCCAAGTGCGAGGGGCTGGAGGCCCGCATCCGCCACTTTGTGCGGAGGGGCCGCATCGAAACCCCCCGGGGCCTGGAGGTAGGGGGGGACGGAGACGAGCAGCCCCCCGAGACCAAAAGGAGCCACCGCGGCGATACCCCGGGGAGCGGCAGTGCCACAGAGCAGC